TAAATAAGTAAAAATAAAAAAAGAAAAAGAAAAAGAAAAAATAATACTCCCCAGCACTACTGAGAAGCCAGTTTGCTGTCGGGCTGAGGCTCAGCGTGAGTGGAGCCTTCTTCGGCCCCAGCGCCTCCCCTCCCATCCCGGGCCCCGAGGCCTGCCCACCCCCAGGCTTCCTCCTGCCCCACGGTTGCTGTGGCTTTTGGTTTTATTTTTCTGTCGTAAGAGCAGCGCGTTCACTACAGGGAAATCACAGGCTACAGATAAGCACCAGGAAGAAAGTAAGCAAACACTCGCAGCCCACCCACACGGAGGGCTGGTGGATTCTTCCAGAGCTGCACGGGTGTCTGCACACTCACGCCTGTGAGCTGCACGGTGCCTTCCCGGGCCTGCAGCCGGGACCTCAAGCTCCCTGGGAGGGGGAGCCCCTTGGGGTGGGGAGCTGGGGAGCACACAGGCCCTGCAAGGCCAGGGGTCAGACACTCCAGGGCACGGTGGTGGGACACTGCCGCCTGGGACATCTGCGTCACCTATCGGGGTGCCTGGTTGGAGTCCTGGCTCCTCGGCTTCCCACCCAGCTCCGGGCTAATGCACCTGGGAGGCAGAGGTGATGGCCGAAGCGTGAGGGCCCCTGCCGCCCCCTGGGACACCAGACTAAGTTCCAGGCTCCTGGCTTCCACCTGGCCCAGCCCTGACCTGTAGTGGCCATTTGGGGAGTGAACCAGCAGATGGAAGATCTCTCTGTGTCTCTCTGCTTTTCAAATAAGATGAAAATAATCATGAAAAAGAAATGAAAAAAGGCACTTTCTCTTCCTTGCCCCGTGCATGTGTGGGCTTCAGTGGCTACCGGGAAGTTCCACAGCCTGGCCCTCGCCAGGATGCCTCCCTCACTCCTGGGAGGCACCAGGCTGTCCTCCTCAGTCCGGGGCCTGTGGGGGGCACCCACCTGCTGTGTCCTTATACGGCCTCTCCTGATCTCTTCCTGTAAGGGCACCAGTCCAGTGGGATTAAGGTCCACCCTAATGACCTCATGTAATGTAATCACCTTTCCACTGGCCCCGTCTCCAAATAAGGCCACACTTCCAGGAGCTGGAGGCTCGGACTTTAATGCAGGAATTTGAGGGGAGCACTGTGTAGCCTCCTAACACCTTGGCCCAGCTCCCCTTAAACACACTGGGACCTCGGCTTCCTCACCAGCTAAGTGGGCTGGTGATCATATCCTGGAACGTCGGAGCACCCTAATCAAACACCCGGCAAAGCACTGTCCGCACGGCCCCACAGCAGGTGGACGAGCAGGTGTCTGTCAGGGTGGACCAAGGTGTCCCCCACACCAGGAGACACGGAGACGGCCCCACAGCAGGTGGACGAGCAGTGTCTGTCAGGGTGGACCAAGGTGTCCCCCAACATCTGCCTCTGACCCCCTGTGCCAGTGCCACACCCTGGACTCCTGTCTCCACGGGCTCAGCAAAGACACCAGACGAGGGGCCAAGGCTCTTCTCAGACTTTGCTGCCAGGCCAGGGGCTCCTTTTTTCTGAACCCCAGCAGGGTCTGCAGTGCCCCCTGCCGAGGACGCCCTTCCCGAGGGAGGCGCCTGCGCCATCCCTGTGAGCTCCCTTAATGTCCCTCCCCCTCCCTGCTCAGGGCTGGACCATGATGGAGGTTGCTGGCCATGGTAAGGACAACGGCTGTCCACCGCCCCCATCCGGTGATCCCAGCATTCCTTGAGCTCAGAGGTGAGTTTCCCTGGGTGGGAGGAGGGGCTCTGACACCCAGCACCCAGATTTTGCCAGGCACACATGAGTATTTGGGCACAGGGCAGGGCTCACACAGGGATGGCAGTTGGGTATGTGGGGTGAGAGGGGCGATCACCAAACCCTGGGCAGGACCGGGTTGTGGGAAACCTACCCGGGAGGGCGCTCATTCTTTTCTTTCTTTTTATTTTTTTTTGACAGGCAGAGTGGACAGTGAGAGAGAGAGAGACAGAGAGAAAGGTCTTCCTTTTGCCATTGGTTCACCCTCCAATGGCTGCCGCGGCTGGCACACTGCGGCCGGCACATCGCTCTGATCTGAAGGCAGGAGCCAGGTGCTTCTCCTGGTCTCCCATGGGGTGCAGGGCCCAAGTACTTGGGCCATCCTCCACTGCACTCCCTGGCCACAGCAGAGAGCTGGCCTGGAAGGGGGGCAACCGGGACAGAATCCGGCACCCCAACCGGGACTAGAACCCGGTGTGCTGGCGCCACAAGGCGGAGGATTAGCCTAGTGAGCCGCGGTGCCGGCTCGGGAGGGCGCTCATTCTCCTCGGAGGCCAGGACACGTGGTGCCCACGAAGGTCCACAGGCCCCACCCTGGGTGAATAGCAGTGACAATAGGGGGTCCCTCAGGGGAGACAACACACAGGCACACACACACTGACACCCATACACCAACTCACACCCACACACCCACACACACTGACTCACACACATGGACAACACACTGGCATGCACACTCTGACACACCCCTGCACACCAGCTCACACGCACATGGACAGCACACATGCACTGACTCACATACACACACACACTGACACAGGTGGACAACACACACTGACACACGCTCACATGCCTGGACAACACGCTGGCATGCACACACTGGCACACATACACTGACACGTCCATGCACACCTCACACACTCACACATGAATCACTGAATCCAAAGTTGCAGGAACCACAGTCCCCGGTGCCGTGCGTGCTGCAGCTTTGACAGCGCCCGTCCTGCTGGCGTGGTGGGACTGCTGGACTTGGTGGGGTGAGATGGTTCCTGACCTCCTGGCCGGGTCCTGATTTGACTGAGGAATCATGCTTGGAATGAGGCTTGCACTCCTGTGTTTTTCTGTGTATTTAAAACTTACATCAAGAATGGGTTTTGTATAATCTTGGTGTTTTTCACTTAAAAGGAGAGGGAGCCTTGGGAAAATGCAAAACAACAGCAATCCAACCGACTTTGTGGAAGGCGGGGCAGTAGAGCGGCAGGGCAGACGCATCTGACTGCCGGAGGTGTCTGGGCCTGCGTTCTCCAGGGCAGGTGCCTCGTGGAGACACCGCCAGCCTCTGAGCGCGCCCAAGGCCGACAGGCCCCCCAAGGTTGCTTTACCGACTCAGGACGAGGGGCGCCAGGGCAGCAACAAGGTAGTGGTGGTGCAGAAGCGGAATCCCGCTCTTGTTTTAAAACGGGAAACGCAGGGGCACCGGGTTTCAGCGCACAGGCGGGAGGTGATGGCGGGCAGGTCTGCTCTCTCCTGGGGACCCGCCTCTGTTCCGCAGTGACACCGCTGCGTTCTCAGCCAGGGCAGTGTTCAAGGAAGAAGAAAAGGCATTGGGAACGGGCCGAGAGAGCAAGGGAAAGACGAAGGAGGGAGGGGGCAGGGGAGGACAGAAAGGGGCGGTGAGGGGGGGAAATGCTCTGATCTCCTGGAGCCTCCGGAGCCGCAGGTCCCCGCGCCGCCGCGCTGAGCGCGCTTGAGACTTGTGGCCCGGGAAGCCGGAGGCAGCCCGGGTGCGCCAGCTCCGCGGGAGGGGAGGCCGCCCGGCGCGCCCGGGGACAGCTCTGAGCGCGTTCGGGTGCAGGGAGCAGCCGGAACCCGCTGGGCCTGGCCCGGCAGCGGCTCCCGCTGAACCCTGCCGCTGCTTCCCCGCGCCACCAAGCCCGGACCGGGGCCGGCCGGCGGCGGAGAGCTCCAGGCAGGCCCTGTCAGGCGTGGGCGCCGCCTTTCTCCGTGTTCTCCTGGGAGCTTGGTGATGATGAGACGGAGCGCGCAGGGCGCGGGCGCGGGGAAGAGACTCCGAAAACCACCTGTGCCAATTGTTTAAAAAGTTATGTTTCAACTTAAGTCCATTTAAAGGGAAAACCCCACAGTGTAGGGTGTCCATTCCAAAAAGTCGTCAAGGGGGAGCGGCGTGCGGGCTGGGAGCAGAATGCGGGTTGACACAGGCTAAACCGCCGCAAGCCGCGCCCCCAAGTGCACGCGCGCCCACCCCGCCCCCGCCCCTAGCCGCCATGGCCCCCGCGTCCTATCCAGTTTTTCTTCCCTATTCAAGATGTCACCAGCGGAGGGAGGTGCGCGCCTCGGGGGTCGCGCGCTCCGGTGTCGCCCTCACTCAGCAGGAGAGCGAGGGAGCGCAGACTGCGGGGGATTCGCATTTGGCCGCGACCATAGGCCGGGACCTGTGCCAGGAGCCCCGAATCGGCCCTCTGGCTCTTGGAACCAACCAGCCCCTCTTGGTGGTCTCTCTTCACCTCCTCACCCTGCCCCTTCCCTGCTTCTCAGCCCCTACCGGGTTTGAGGTGATGGCGATGTTTGACTCGGTTTGGGGACATGGAGGAGGGCCTGGACAGAGGCGAGGTGACCCGGGCGCGGAGTGGGGGGCGCACCCCACAGTACCCCCGGCTCAGCAGCAGGATCTGTGGCTGGAGTGTTGGAGAGGCCGCCACCGCGCTTTGCCAGCCGCGCCTCCCAGGGACCCCAGCAGCCAGGCAGGGATTGGCGGGAGACGATTCTGCAGGTGTGGGGAGGGGGGTCAGCTAAGAGCCAGGTGCACGGTGGCTTCACGGGATCCGAAGTCCCATCGGCCTCCGCAGCCCTCCGTCGCCCCGCTGGCGCGCACGGCAAGTTAGACGGGCGGCTGCAGGGACCGCTGCGGCTGTCGGCGAGTGCGTGTGTATGGGCGCGCTCGCGGCGCCTAGAGGGGACCCCGGTGCCTCGGCTTCGCTCCTGGGCCCCGTGGGGTTGGGATTCTGCGCTCTTTTCCCGCCCCCAGGCTCCCCGCCGCCGCGTGCAGGTGGCCGCGGATTGTCGCTCCCACCGCCGCCGAAAGCCTCCCACCCCACCCGCATCCCTATCGGGGAGGCGCCCGCTCGCCCGGGCCTGCCTTTCCCCCAGGGTCACCAGGGCGCGGTCGGCAGATTTGTGTTTAATTCCCGCCACTCTACAGAGGCAAGGGAAGAGAAAGGTCCCGAAGGCAGTCAGAAAGCAGTTTACTTCAAGCCTTTATTGTTGTAGCCCCTAAGAAGTTTATACACGGGAATGTCTCCAGCCCGAAGCTCACCAAATGGCCTTTGAATCTGGGACCCTCGGCCCCCCGGCCCCGCAGCCAGCAGCTCGGCCGGGCAGTCTCCTCAACTCCGGGGGCCCCAGGCTTCCCCCCCAAATCTCCCTTGCCCCAGACCCCACCACCCAAAGCCTGCTCCCCGGGAGTCCCTCTCCCCCCGGCGCAGCAAGCCTCCCGAGTGCCTCTCCAGCCATCTCCCCCCACCCCGTACCTCCCACTCCCTACGCCCCCTCCCGGAAACCCAGGGCAGTCTCCCCCTCTCGCTTCGGGCATTGCTTCAAGCCCCCTGCAAATCAGAACCGGCTCGTGGCGGAAACCAGTTAGAGGCGGCTCGTCATCAGCAGTGGGGCTCGCGCTCACCCCAAGCAAACGGGGGACACTACCCTGCCCACCCTTCTCCTTCCTCTGTCCCTCCCCCCTCCAATCAGGGACAAGAAACAGACACAAAAGCAGCAGGACTCCCCTTCTCCGAGAGCGACAGGTGGATGCCAGGCAACTGCCGAGAGAGCGCTGCCGGAACCCAGCTGCGCGCGGGCGCGACCAAGGTCTCGGCGCTGCGAGCACCGCGGGGCCCCGCGCGTGGCTGAAGGCGCGCCGCGGAGCTGGCACGAGACGGTGCTGTGCGGGCGAGTGCCCGGGGCACGCACGCGGGCGGGGGTGCGCGCCGCCTCTGCGCTCCCAGCCGGGGGAGGGGGATTTGAGCGAGCCAGCAGGTACCGGTGAGAGGCAGCCACAGCAGCAGCCCCAGGGAACCGGGGCTTCCCTTGGCCGAGGGCGCAGTCTCAGTCCCTCCGGGTCACTGGGGCCTCGCCAAGCTCAAGTTCCTCTGGCGCTTGCCCGTGAGCCTCGACGGCTCCGAGGCCCAGCCCGCCCCGTCCGGCCAGTTGTCCCTCGGTCGCTTACACCCGCCGGGGCCGGGCGCCACGCAGCTGCTGGTCGTAGCGCCGCAGCCAAGCGCGCAGCTCCGAGACCTGGTAGCCGTCGGGGCCTCGGCCGCCCTGGTACATGATGGTGCCACTCTGGATGACGTAGAGGCGCTCGAAGTAGGCGCCGTAGGCCGAGCTGCTGGAGTTGGCCATGGTGTCCAGCACCAGGGCGCAGCCCGGCGCGCCTTGCTGCAGCACCCTGGCCGCCCTGACCCGGTCCTCCAGGCTGCGGTGCTGCGGGATGACGTAGGGGGAGTCAGTGGTGACCCAGCCGTCGGAGGGGTGCGCCTCCTCAATGTAGATGATGAGGAAGTCGACGTCGCGCTGGTACTTGGCGACCAGGCGTCGGAAGGCGCTCATGCGCGCCATGAACGGCGGTCAGGTGCAGCTGCCGAAGTTGAGCACCAACGGGCGGTTCCCCTGGGCGTAGTCGAGGATGCGCTGGCTCTGGAAGCCGTCGGGCAGAACCACCTCGGAGTTGGGCGCCGGGCCGCCCTCGTGCGCCTGCTTGAAGAAATCCAGCTGCTGGCCGTGCCACACGGCCCGGAGCGACGCCAGCGTGCACAGGCGGTTGTCGTCCGACACGCAGATGGGCGGGTCATCGGGGGACACCTCCTCGCCGTCGCTGTTGAGCTCCACCTCGGGCTCGGGCTGCCCCCGGCGGCGGCGGCGGCCCAGGATGTGCTTGCGGATGCACAGGAAGTCGAGGAGCCACAGCATGAAAGCCGTGCCCAGGAAGCGCGGGAAGAGCACGAGGCACGAGGCGGTCTGGGCGCAGAGCCGCAGGGAGTGAAGCAGCAGGGAGCGGAGCATGGTGGCCGCAGGCCCCGACGCCCCCTGGGCCCTGTCGCCTTCCCCGACCACCAGCCGCGAGGCGGCCTGGCGAGGCATCTGGGTTCTGGCCGTGCCGAGAGCTCGATTTATAGCCTTCAATTGGCGGGAGACTCCACCTCCGGCCCGGGCCCGCCCCCTTGCAACTTGAGCCCGGAGGGATCCCCCAGCGGCGCGGCCAATGCCCTAGGAACCGCGGGGTCGAGGGCGGGCGCAGGCAGGCCGAGGGCGGAGCGGCCGCCTGGGGCGGGGGCCCCGGAGCGGGACGGGGCACCCGGGCGCCCGCCGCGGCGGTCCTCCGGCCGGCGCGACCGCTGCGCGCGGCCCCGGCCCCCACGGTCCTCAAGGCAGGGCCCCGGCCCGCGCCCCTCTCGCCGCGCACCTGAGCCGAGTTCCCCGGCGGCCGCCGCGCTGCGCCGGAGCTCCGGTTCGCTTCCCGCGCGCCGCCGCCGCCGCCAACGCCGCCCACGCCGCCGCCGCTCGTGCGGGCCGCTGCCCAGGTGCCGTGGGAGTCCGGGTCCGCGGCCGCCGCTTCGCTGGTCCCGGCTCCCGCCCCTCAGAGGACGCGGGCCCGCCAGGAGGCAACTTTGGGTTCCCGCCGCCCTCCCGGCTCGCCCGCGGGCGCCGCTCGACTGCCGGAGCCCGCCCGCCAGCCTCCCGCGCGCGCTCACACTCGCGCCTCGCACACGGCCGCCCCCCGCACCGCCCCGCCACGCACACCGCGCTCCGCGCCCCCCGCCGCTGCCCGCGGCTGCCGCGCGCCGCCCCAGCCCGCGCAGCGCCGGTCGCGCCCGCCCCGTCCCATCGCGTTCCCTCTGGGCGCCCGCGGTTCCCGGGTCAGCGGCCGCCGGGGGCCCAGCCGAGAGGTGCGGAGGGCAGGGTCCGCGAGCCGGTTAGCGCCGGGCCCGGGAGACGGGCAGGGCTGGGGAAGCCGCGCGGGCTCTGCGTCCCCAGCCGACTTGGGAGCGCCCCGGGCGCAGGGCGCTGCGGGCGCGGGGCGTGGGGCAGCGGGCGCGGGGCGGCGCCGGCCCCGGGCGGCTCTCCCACTAGGGGTAGCTGTTGCCTGAACGCCGGAGCGCTCCCCTCCCGCCGCCTGCCTCTCCCGGCGCAGCCCTGGCCGCCGGGCGCACCCGTCCCGTTCGTCCCCGGACGTTGCTCTCTGCCCCGGGAGCGTCGAGACTGGAGCGCCCGAGCTGAGCCCACTCGCGGAGCCGGAGGGCGGCGGCCCGACTCACCGCGGAGGCGCCCGAACGCGTCAAGTGCGTACTTTCCACCGAGAGCGTGTGCCGCGGCGTTTAGGGGTGCGGGGCAACTCCCCAACTCTGCGGAGCCCTGGGCGGCCCCGCCGCCGCGTCCGAGACCTTCTGGCCCCGCGCGGCGCGCGGCGCGGGGCGGGCGACTTGTGCTCCGGGGCGGGGAGGTGCCTTGACCCGGGGTCCCCGAGGCCAGGAGCAAGCCCCCTTCTCCTCGGCCCGCCGAGTCCCGCGGGGCAAGCCCGAGCCGAGTGGCGCGCGGTCTGCCCCTCGGCTGGGGAGCCGCGCTGCCCGGAGAGCCCTTGCGGTGGCGGGCGCTTGTCCGGGGCTGCGGGGCCCGAGCCCGCCGCCGCCTCCGCCGCTGCCTCCCGCGTCCCGTGCGCCGCCCGCCCCGGGGACCGGCCGCCCAACAACTTCTCGGGACCAAGACAGCGCTCGCGCCCTGGACCGAGATGGGAGCTGGCCGAGCCCTACGGAACGCGGGCGGATCGCTTTGGGCGGCCGGAGAACGCGCCGGGAGAAGTCGACCGCAGGCCAGTTGTCCCGGGGGTGCGCAGGTACTCACCCCGCCCTGGGCGAGGGTCCTCCCCTCTGTTTTTCTCGGACCTGGCAGGACCCTCGGCCCCCTGAGCTCCCTGCCAGACCCGTGGCTCCGGGAGGTCAAGCCCCTCAGTGTGCGGGGCGGTGGGAGGGGTGTGTGAGGGTGTCCCCGCCGCCTGGGGCAGGGGGCGCCCCCAGGAACCTCCCATCTAGGGCAAGGCAGCTTGAGCTCTCCCACTCTGAGCCCCCAAACTGCGCCTCACCACTCTGGGTAGGGGTCTTCTGGTGGGCTGGGGGATGCTCCCTGAGCCCTGGGGTGGGGTGGGAAGGTGGGGGTCTCATTAGTCTGCCCCAGCCCCTCCCCCTCCCCCGCAAGAGGAACACTGCTGAGCTAGCAGCTCTGTCCTTTCTGGGGGAGGAAGACAGCGTAGGAGGAGAAGCCTGTAGTGGGGGGGCTCTGAGAGGAGGGCTGGGGTTTCCCAAGGCGCCGGGCGCTGGGCAGGGGCTGGAGGGTGGTGGGAGGCCCACCTCTGGTTGGACAATCTTGGTTCCTGGGATGTGCCTGTCTAGGGCCTAGAGCATCAGGGACATGGGACAGTGCGCCAATCCCCTTTCTCACATTTAGTCTCAGAGAAAACCACCCTGGGCTGGGAGAGTATTTCTGTTCCTTCTGGGATTGGTGGTATGTGTGTGTGCACATGCATGTGCAATCATGAATGTACACGGGCATGTACATGAATGTATACGTGTGTGCATGCAAGTACACGGGCATGTATGCATGCATGCATGGGCATATGTACCTGTGTGCACATATGTGTGCATGATTGTACATGGGGCATGCATGCGTGTGTACATGGGCATATGAATCTGCACACACATGTGTGCATGCATGTACATGGGGGCATGCATGCACGCACATGTGCATGGGCATATGCACACGCACACATGTGTGCATGCATGCACATGGGGCGTGTATGCATGCATGTGTGCTTATGTGCATATACACACGTGTGTGCATGTGCACATGTGTGCATGTGTGTACGTGGGGCATGCATGCATGCATGTGTGCATGCACCTGCGTGTATGTGCACAATGTGTGTACATGGGGCATGTATGTGTGCATGCATGTGTGCATGCATGTGTGCATGTGTGTATGTGCACAATGTGTGTACATGGGGCATGTATGTGTGCATGCACCTGCATGTATGTGCACAATGTGTGTACATGGGGCATGTATGTGTGCATGCATGTGTGCATGCGTGTATGTGCACAATGTGTGTACATGGGGCATGTATGTGTGCATGCATGCATGTGTGCATGTGTGTATGTGCACAATGTGTGTACATGGGGCATGTATGTGTGCATGCACCTGCATGTATGTGCACAATGTGTGTACATGGGGCATGTATGTGTGCATGCATGTGTGCATGTGTGTACGCACCTGTGTGTGCACGTGCACATGTGTGTATGGCATGGTCCAGGGCAGGCGTAAGGCCAGCCCTCTGGTCCCCTCTGTAGGATCAGCCCTTCCAGCGGCACCAGGTGACTCCTTCCAGGCCCACGGACACAGCAGCGCCCTGGTCCTGAAGGCCGCCACCTGCTCTGGCATCTGCTGTTTCTTGGGTGGGCAGGCTGCGCTCCACACCTCAGGGTCCCAGGCCCATCTGGCCCGCACAACCTCTTCTGCAGGTGAGGACAGGTTCAAGGTCCAGTCTCCGGGTCACCTGGCCCAGTGGTGACTCCCACTTCAGGGCTCTTCTCCCCCACTCCGGCCCCTCTCTCTCATCACCCTCTGCTAGACCCTCCCTCATCCTGGGCAGCCCTCAGCTTGACTAGACCCGGCCCTTCTGACCAGTCCTGTCCTGTCCTGTCCCAGCCGTCAGGAGCGAGGGGACTGCTCCCAGGCCAAGACCCACCTGGGACCTGGGGCAGATCCAGGCCCAGTGCGCCTGGCAGGCTCCGCTGTTGGGGGTGGGGGTGGGGACCAGGGCTGGAGCTGGGGCCGCTCCCTGTGCCTCCCCTCCCGCTCTGCCTGCCCTCTCCCAGCTCCAGCAGGGGGCGGGCAGGGGAAAGAAAAGCAGGTTGAACTGGGTCCACTCGGTATCTAGCCACTTGGAGGGAGGCTAGGGGTGGTGGGGAGGAGGCGGAGGCCTGGCACCGAGGGAGAATTGGCCTTTGGATGGCCTCCTGTTCCCCAGACACGGGGTGGGCGTGCGTGGCCATGGCCGCTGGGTCCTTTCTCCATGCAGGGCCACCTCCTCAGACTTCGGGGACAGGTGGTCCAGCCTGCTCACCGGGAGGACTGTTGGAGAACTACAGGTGGTGCCTCTACACCAGACCTGGCTTCCTCACCGCCTGGCCATGGGGGTCTGAGCCCTCCTGGCCAGGACCCGCGGTCTCCCGCCCTCTGCTCGGGCTTCCTGGTGCTGCAGGAGCTCCTGGTGCTTTCTGAACTCCGAGCTTCCTCTCGCATGGCTCCCTCCATCCTTCTCCTCCATGTCACTTCCACCTGGCTCCCGCAGCCCCGCCCCCAGTGTTCTCCCTCCGCTGCCCACCCCGCTGCCCACCCAGCTGTCACGCTCGTCGCTGGAGCCTGGGCTTCGCCACGGCCTTCCGCTCCTGCAGCTGGCTCCAGACCCGCCCCTCCCAGCCTGGCCGGGCGGTGCTCCGAGGTGACTAACCAGAACCGGCACCGGGGAGGCGCCCAATAAAGTTTTCGAAATGAGTAAATGTGTGTAGTGTGGACTTACTGAAAACTCCTTGTTTTGGGAGAATTTCAAGATGCTTCCTTCTGCCCTCTGCACGCCCGCAGCAGGGAGCCAGGCAGGGCGTGTCCCAGCGGCTCAGAGTGGAACGCAGTCCCTGGGGAAATCCCGGGTGTGGCGTCTTCTGATCCTGCTGTCACCTGGCCACCAGGGCGAGCAGACCCCTCCCATGGCAACCTGGCCCGCCCACCACTGTCACTGCACATCTCATTTGCTTAAAGCCTGACTCTTCTGTTCAAACGTCCTCCTGGCTGGACCCCGTGTGTGGACACCCTGTGTGTGTGTGGTTGGGGGGGGCAGCGGCTGGAGGTGCTGGGATGACCCTGAGGTGTCCCCAGCACAGCAGGCCCTGTCCCTCTGGGAGCCTTAGGCAGGAATCTGGGAGACAGTGGGGCTGTGGGTGGCTGTTGGGCAGCCCGGGAGCCGGGCCAGGAGAGCTTGTCGGGGCCTCGGGGCCTGGATCCGGTAGGGTGTTTGGCAGCTTTCTGGGGCTGGAGGAGGCCTGAGGCTCCCAGCCAGAGAGGCGAGGGCGCAGGCAGCAAGGCCCTGGCTACCGGCTGTGTGACCCTGGGCACGTCCTGGCCTCACCTGTGTGGGAAGGGGGTTGGGAAGCGACTTCCCGGTGTCTTCTCCCAGAATCACTCCATAACTCTGAAGGTT